GGAAGGAAATGTAATCGACAGCTAGGGGAAATATTTGGAATCGAAAAATTCGAATCAAAAAATTCAAGTTAAAAGGAGATAGTTAATTAAGAGATCGATGAAGATTCGAATTCGAGGAACGTTTCTGTCAGGGTTGGATAGGGGTTGGAAGAAGGGAGTGTAGCCAACAGCTAGGGAAAATATTTAAAATGAAAAAATTCGAATTAAAAGGAGATAATTAATTAAGAGATCGATTAAGATTCGAATTCGATGAACGTCCCTGTAAGGGTTAACTAGGGGTTGGAAGAAGGGAGTGTAGCCAACAGCTAGGGAGAATATTTCGAATCGAAAAATTCGAATTAAAAGGAGATAATTAATTAAGAGATCGATGAAGATTCGAATTCGAGGAACGTTTCTGTCAGACTTGAATAGGGGTTGGAGGAAGGAAGTGTAGCCAACAGCTTGGAAAAATATTTAAAATGAAAAAATTCGAATTAAAACGAGATAATTAATTAAGAGATCGATCAAGATTCGAATTCGATTACCATTCTCGTGGAGGTTGAAATAGGTTAGAGGGTGCGACTACGAGTTAGAGTTGCGGCTAGGAGATATTTCGAAATAGGTTCTCTGTCAATGTCAGTCCGATGAAGGAGCGACTAGGTGTTCCTGTTAGGGGTTCGGAACAGGTTCTCCATAGTCACACATGGTCGTTTTCCACGCGTTCCACGAAAACGTGCGAACGGAGGAACCTGTAACACCGACACCTAAACAGCGAGCCAGTACGAGGGAAAGGAAAAAACGCACACCGAACCAGGACAAATATATTATCGTAGAAGCAACCTCACCTTAAAGGGACGCGATCCCTCGCGTCCACTGACAAACCGTTCGTTCTCGTCTGACCCGTGGATCTCGACCTGGTACCCGTATAGCTATCGCGAAACGACGCGGTCACTCGTAGAACGTGGAATAACGGGGAAAATTGGTGCGAGCTAGGTGAAATGGTATCTGAAATGTTGCGAACGATGCGAGATACGTGTAGAACCCTATCGCTTCGAAGGCGGAACAGTCTATCTGGCCGAGGAATACAGGCTGGTAACGGATCGAACGAATACTAGCCAGAGCGCGCACTGGTGGCGCGTGCGCGTCTCATCCCTGAATCGCGTTGAACCAATGAAACTCCCTCTTACACTGGCCTCGGGGGATAGAACATTTCGATATATTTCGGGTAATTTCTATCAGCGATGTGATCCCATAGAATCGGTGGTCGAAACATGGGAGAAAGTGCGAGACGTTGGTACGGTGAGGTGGCCGGGTGAGTGGTGCGGACATGTCGACGAGAGGGAGAATCTGCGACGAGGGAAAAGTCTGTATGAATCAGTGTTATCCGGGCGGGGTGGTAGTAAACGGTGGCTCAACACTGGCTGCCATCTGCTGACGGTCGCTTTAAGCTCGAGCCCACTGGTTCCCCGTGAAGTGCATAGCCGAAACGAGACGTTCGGCTCCGAAACGACAGCAGCGCGAGCTTTTTTCCGAGGGATCCAGGCTGATCCCGTTCGTGACGCGATCCACGCGTGACCAAGCCGCGACGCGGGTTCTCGTACGAGTGTTGTTTTCGTGGTAGCGTGGTGTGTTCCTGCCAGAATCGAAGGGACGAACGGTCACGTACCAGCCATCCAGCTAGCCAGCCAGCCAGCCAGCCAGCCAGGATGACGGAGACGACAATGACGTAAAGCCCACGAGGCCAAGTGGAGAGATTCGACTGACGGCGGCCTCGCTCCTTTCGTTTTCGCGTGCTACGCCATCGCGTTTCGGCCAAAATCCATCCCCGGGGCGAGTGTTCCAGCCATCCCGAGAAACATGGCAATCGTCGCGATGTCCTGGTACCTCGATCGCGATCCCGTGAATTTCTTCCACGATGATCGAGGCAACGTTGTTCGTGCGTGCGATGATCCTTCGCAGTGATCCCTCGTGTGACAAGCCGAACCTTGGAAAAAGGCGTTTGGTCGATGACTGAACTTTCGCTCCACTCCGCGACGCGCACACCGGACAGCTCGCTGCTCGTCTTCTCGCGTTATCGTTCTCCTCCACGTACAATCCGAACGAATCTCGCGCCACGAGTACTCCGATTTAAGGGTTAAGCGAGAGGATAATTGCTTCGTTCCGCAGGACGCTGGTCCGATGTGGGAAACCGATCGAAGCGCGGACGATCGGGCCGAGGCGAAATGTGAAGGAACAGGAAACGCGAACGCGGGTATCGAATTGTTTCGCTGCGTTGCACGACGTCGTGTTGAACGACGAGGCTGGTTGTTAACGGAATATCGACCGAAGACCGTAGCTACCGAATTAGTCGTGGCGAAGGTCGCGCGTAAACGCGTGCACCTAGTTCCTTGAGATCTGGATCAGCCACCCCGGAGAGTGTACCAAAACGACGTTCGCCCTGGCCGAGGGAGTCGAACCTCTATACGTTCCAACGGCGTTCGACCGAATCAATCCCCCCGGACGGTCGTTGGTGCAAAGTGTGTTACGATAATATCTCGATCGTGGAGAAAAAATTCGTGGACGAAATCGTGGCCGGATATTAGCATTGTGTCTCGTCGTCTCGTTCCAGTGACGCGAATATATCCTCTGGACTAGAAAACGGACCAGAACGGTGCACGGGTCGGCAATTAGTGCGTCCAGATTAACGGGCAGAAACATTGAAACCGAAAGTGCGAACTGGATGAAACTCCCTCGAAGAACAGTTCTCTGAACGAGACCTACTGACCTATCGACTCGGCGCCCCACCACTCCCGTCCTCGCATTTCCTCTCTTTTTCTCTCTCTTCCTCTCTTTCTCTCTCGGTCTGTCTCTCCGTGTTCGCCGCGTTTACCCTTTAATCCGTGGATAGTCCAAGTGGAATAGGTAAATTGGCGCATCGGAGGACACCGACCGGTGTGGAGGAAGTGGCATTAGAAGGCAGGAGGGCGACGTGGCTGCGCGTACGAACGCGCGGGTGAATCGAAGAGAGTCGTTCTTTGAACGAGACCCACTGACCTATCGACTCGCCGCTCCACTCCTACTACCCTCGGCGTCTTTCTTTCCTCGCCACCCTATTTCAGCTCTTTTCTCCCCTGCGTTTGTTGGCGTGCCGCGTCGGGGCATTCGTAATTCCATTTCGTGTCTCCCCTGACAGGGGTAACGTTCGAGGGTACGAAAGGGTCGATAACAACACGCCGCGCGTATACACACGCGCGTACACACACGGAACACGCGACACTAGTGCGCGTACAGGTATATAAGAACAAACGAGTGCCTAAGTATTCCGAAATCGGTACTTTCGACCGATTCCCTTTGCCTTTTTCTCTACTTTCCATTTTCGTTCCTCCGATTCGGAGATTTTTACTTCGATTTTTTCCACGTTTAACGCCAAGCTACCGTGTTCAGGGTATATCGTTTGGATGGTCTGCGTTAGTTGAGATCGTCGAGCAATCGACGAGGGTGTATCGGTGATACGAGGTGAAGAGTGCCTAAAATTTTATGCCTTCTCGACTGATTATTCGTACACGCGCGAACGTTCTTGCTAATCCCCGTGCCCCGTTCTCGCATTTTTATCGCGCCCCGTTTTCTCCACTTTCTCCGCGAATCGTCGCTTCGCGAGGGGGATTCCAGCACGATCGAACCCTTTCATCCGCCAAGCGACGAAGGTCGGCTACGCTTCGCGATCGATACGACAAACAGTGCCTCGAGATCATATTCTCCACTCTCGACTGATCCACGAACAAACGTATACGTGGTTGTACCTCGTAAGCTACCCTCTGGTTCCCCCGCGGTTTTTCGCTCGTTGTGCCCCGACTCCCATCTTGCTTTTCAAAAAGGGGACCACCGAAGTGGATTGGAAGGAAGTGGGAAAAGCGAGATCGAAGAGGAAGACCTCGCGGTCTCTCTCCCCCTCGAGATTTTTATCGACCTTCGTTCAACTTCGTTAAACACCCCGGCTCCTTAATCATCCGAACGTCCAGAGAACGAATCGTGATCAACGAGCACGTAACGATAACGATCGAGCGTGCATGAGAGAAACGTAGGAAGGTCGCGGGAAATTTATCGTTGGCCGATTATCTTCTCCATGCCTCGCATCCCCGATGGAACGGTCCCGTCGAGGCATCTCGCGCCACTGATCCGATCGCGTGAACCCGAGCACCAGAGGAACCAGCGTTTCCCGTTAAGAAGGTTGCCAACCTAATCGAACAGCTCGAACTTTTGCCGGGTCGACAGCACGATCGATCGAACGGTACACACCGGACAGCCCTTGACAGTGCATCTTTAATCTCGTTCGCGGAAGAGATGGCATCCGGATCGCGATCCGAAGCCGTCGTAATGTCCTCTGACGTCAAACGGGATCGCGTGGCAACCGTCTGCGAGGAATTTTCTCGTCGCGAGAGCGCAACGTGCCGGTTCAGGCCGACGACCACGATAGCCTGATCGTAAAATCGGGCTGCTACCACGACGACCGTGAGAGAGGGAAAGTGTCAGCTATAAAGACGAGGAGACGAAAGGTCGGCTGACTGAGGATATTACGAACAGAGGGTACGATTAAAAACTCGATCGACCAACACGTGCACGAAGAAGAGATCGAGAGATCGGGAAGACGCGGATGATCGAACGCGGCTGAGAAGAGATTCGCTGATCGAGCAAGACGCGAGGCGAGCTGTGCGCAGGTACGAGACTGGCAACGATTTTCCACCTGCGGAGCGAGATCGAAACGCGTGTCCGATCCAATTCGTTCGGCGTCTATTCGCCTCGTCGCGTCGAATCGTCGAGTCTCGAAGCCGAAAGGGGAGCGCAGCGTGACAACCGGATCGCGTTCCAATCACGTTCGACTCGCGTTTTTCGCCCGAAGCTCCCCTCGCCGTCAGATCAAAATGTCGCGGCTGTCCCTGACGAAGGTTTGAGAGCAACTGCTCGTAGGAAAAGCGACGAGAGAAAAGACGGGAAAACGCGAGAGGAAAGCGGGAATCGCGCGACGAAAGAGAGCAAGGAGAAAAATGGCGGAAAGCGCGGCAAGTCCGGGTTCCGTGCAAGTGGCCGCGAACAGTCCGCAGCAACAGCAGCCACAGTCGCAGCAACAGCAACAAACGCAACAGAATCAACAACCGCCGGATATAAGCAGCTCGCAGTTGGCGTCTCCACCGATCACGGGCACAGGTACGAATAGGAAACGATCGAGATCTTCCGGTAGGGTTACATTTAAGATTTCCAGGCATCCCGATTTAGATTGCTTTTGTTCCATTAGGCACGTTGTAGCCAGCCATTTCGACCTTTGCTTCGCGACTAGTCGCCTCCGATAAATTCCAACGAATTTCATCGGAAAGAACGGGAAGGGGAGAGAAAAATCAGGGAAAATGGTAATTTCGATACGGACACTTGGTCGAGGTTATCTCTGTTCTGTTCCATTCGAAACGAAACGCGTGTTTCATCGGAGAAAAGAAGTAGGTTGGCCTGGTGACGTTTAGCGAAGTCAAAGACCGAGGTCACGGTTGGCTCTGTTTTCGCAGAGTCTAGCTACGTCGATGGGCGTGCGCGATAGTCCACATCGGCGTAATTAAAGGTCTGAGAAAGGAGTTCTTCGAGATCGTTAGAATCGAGAGTCCGGCTTAATCGATGGAATTGATTAAAAGGCGAGTCTGTAGCGCTGATTACGAGGCAGAGACGAAAGGCTGAGCCATCTCTACGGGAGGTTTAGCTGTAACGCGACGGTACCTGTGTATCGAGGGACCATTTACATAGCGCATCGCGAGGTGAAACGGATCAATGTCGGACGCGTAATGTGTTCCAGGGAATGCTTTGCACTCCTGCGATACCGCGTCGCGTTTTAATCAACGAAATTAATTCCGGCCCGGTCGAATGATCGCGGAGTAATTGATTCCGACGGGTGGTGGGGTGGCTGCTGCAGTTTCTCCATCCTGTTACGTAAAATTTCATCGAAGAAATTCAATTTCGCAAATTCGTAATTAAACCTATGTTCGGGAATTACGTAACCGTGCGTTCCTGCTTAATCGACAGAGCGCTTTTTCTTTCTACGTCGCACGCGCTAAATCGTTCTACCTTTACGAGAAAAATCAGCGTTATTTTATTAAAGAAAAAAATACCTGTTTATGTCTTTTAGATTGGGGAATTACGCGAGGAAACGCGATAAGCCTGCTTTTCTTCCTTTCTTCGTTCGATCTCGATGTCCTATAGATATTTCGATATGGACTCTATTAGAGCTAACTCAACGATCGATCATGGTGGGTGAAGCAAATTATACGCAAATTTAAGGAAAAATTGGGAATATTTCAAAAGAAGTCGCGATATTAGGTGATAAAATCGACGACGTTGAACGTACGTACAATTCCCTACCAAAAATAATTAAAAACAATTCCGACAGCACACAATAATTTTGGTAAATTCTCCTGCAAAACGTTACACGTTCGCCATAACACTGTTTATACGCAAATTTAAGGAAAAACGAAATTAAAAACTGGAAATATTTAGAAAGAAATTGCGAAATTAAATGACAAAATCGACGACGTCGAATGTATGTACAATTCTGTACCAAAAATAATTAAAAATAATTTTAATAACATAAAGCTGGGTAACTTTCCTCTAAAACGTTACACGTCCACTATAGCACTCTTTATACGCGAATTTAATGGGAAAAACGAAATTAAAAAGTGGGAATATTTTGAAAGAAGTCGCAAAATTAAGTGACAAAATCCCCTGCCAAAAATAGTTAAAAATAATTCTATTAACACATTAGCTAGTTAATTCTCCATCAAAACGTTACACATCCACCATAGCACTGTTTCCTCGCCAAAAAATATTCCCAAATTATTCGAGTATTGGACAGCAAAAAAAAAAAGGGGGGAAAAATAATAATAAAAATTCGGGTGTTAGAATCGACCGATTCGACCCATGGCATAATCGTGATCGAGCTTCTACCTCGCGTTCCCCTGCCAATAAAAACATGCCAATCTTCGATCCGATCCGTCGATAAACATCTTAACCAAACAGTCCGTCTGTCTGCACGCGGAAACGTAAGAGAAAAATGAAACCTGTCCTGCAAGCAGCCGTATCAGTGGTACGATCGCAACGTGAACAGCTCTACGATAACTAATAACGAACGACGCCGCTCTGGATCGGTCTTTCACTCGCATAGCCGATGCTGTTCACGCAGCCCGAGCCACTCCTCATGGGATCAGCAACGTTCACAGTCCGCTATTACCATATCGAGTCAGCGTCGAAACTTCCATCCAATCGATTCCACTTCACCCACTGAAGCAAACGTATTTTCAATTTCGCCATTCGTTCTACTCCGATCTCCACTTCGCTTCGGATAAATTATCGCGTTCACGCCAAATCGACCGCGGATGATCAGCCTCGGTGGATAAATCGAATCATATCACGGGGGTCTGAGAAGATTTAATCGAAAGTTAAAAATCGATTGTTTAGACAGGCGACAGAGTCAACGTCCAAAATGTAAACTCGCAATCTTGGTGGATACCAAAATGGCGCCCCAATAATTTCGCTCGAGGTCTCACCGTTGCTGTCGAATAATCGCAACTATTTCGTCGGCATCAGAGGCTCAGGGACTCAAAGGCTCAGAAACTCAGAGACTCAGGGACTCAGAGACTCAGGAGCTCAGGGACTCAGAAGCTCAGGGACTCAGAAGCTCAGGGACTCAGAAGCTCAGGGACTCAGAAGCTCAGGGACTCAGAGGCTCAGGGACTCAGAGGCTCAGGGTCATAGAGGCTAAGGGTCATAGAGGCTTAGGAACTCAGAGGCTCAGGGATTTAGAGACTCAGGGACTCAGAGGCTCAGGGACTCAGAGGCTCAGGGACTCAGAGGCTCAGGAATTCAGAGGCTCAGGGACTCAGAGCCTTCTCTAGCTTGTTTAGATAATAAAATGTTATTGGAACCACGTGTGCAATGATAGCGATTGGTATAAACTCCACAGCGGATCTGAGACTACACGGACTGAGCCAAAATGGTGCCCTAATAATTTCGCTCGTGGTCTCACCGTTGGTGTCGAATAATCGCAACTATTTCGTCGGCATCAGAGGCTCAGGGACTCAAAGGCTCAGAAACTCAGAGACTCAAGGACTCAGAAGCTGAGGAACTCAGGGACTCAGGGACTCAGGGACTCAGGGACTCAGGGACTTAGAGGCATAGGAACTCAGAGGCTCAGGGACTCAGAGGCTCAGGAATTCAGAGGCTCAGGGACTCAGAGCCTTCTCTAGCTTGTTTAGATAATAAAATGTTATTGGAACCACGTGTGCAATGATAGCGATTGGTATAAACTCCACAGCGGATCTGAGACTACACGGACTGAGCCAAAATGGTGCCCTAATAATTTCGCTCGTGGTCTCACCGTTGGTGTCGAATAATCGCAACTATTTCGTCGGCATCAGAGGCTCAGGGACTCAAAGGCTCAGAAACTCAGAGACTCAAGGACTCAGAAGCTGAGGAACTCAGGGACTCAGGGACTCAGGGACTCAGGGACTCAGGGACTTAGAGGCATAGGAACTCAGAGGCTCAGGGACTCAGAGGCTCAGGAATTCAGAGGCTCAGGGACTCAGAGCCTTCTCTAGCTTGTTTAGATAATAAAATGTTATTGGAACCACGTGTGCAATGATAGCGATTGGTATAAACTCCACAGCGGATCTGAGACTACACGGACTGAGCCAAAATGGTGCCCTAATAATTTCGCTCGTGGTCTCAATATTGGTGTTGAATAATCGCAACTATTTCGACGGCATCATAGGCTCAGAGGCTCAGAGCCTTTTCCAGCTTGCTTAGATAATAAAATGTTATTGGAACCACGTGTGCAATGATAGCGATTGATATAAAATCCTCAGCTGATCTGAGACACACGGACTGAGTCAAAATGGCGCCCTAATAATTTCGCTCGCGGTTTCACCGTTGCTGTCCAATAATTGTAACTATTTCCTCGTCATCAGAGGCTCAGAGGCTACTCTAGCTTGTTTACTTAACAGAATATTAGTGGAATCGCGTGTGGAGTGATAGCGATTACTATAAAACAGTATTAAATCCTAAATGCGGCTATACTCCACCTCAGATCTGAGACTAGACAGACTAGACCTAAGCCATGGAAGGTCCTGAAGAACCCAGGAAAGGGAAAGCCCACGCGTGTTTCCGGGTGTCCCAGAACACAGCTTCGCATGCCTTAAGCCTGCATCGCGCAGACAGTCGCGAGCTCTGAAAAATGGCAGCTTCCTTGTAAAACCCTTAGATCCAAACTCTCCAGTACTCGCCAAACCCTTCGAGACGCAACACGGTCCCAAAAGCTCACTCGAAAAGTATTCGGGAAAGAAGGAAGAGAGGAAATTAAAAGAGGAAAAGAGAAAATGGGGTATCGGTGGACACGATAAGGAAGCGGGTCCACGCGCGAGGAAATATAAATCAAAGTTGAGTTAGCGGAGAGGAGACGGAGGTTGTTCGGTTTGGTCGCGTAACGAAGGGCCATTACTCGTGGCGGGTTGTACATACAGCGAGACGGAGGGGGCCCGATATGCCGGCGCTTTTCGTGCACGCTTCTCATCCCACGGCGCGTTGCGGCGTCGAGGCGGCGGCGAGGCGGGCGGGAGCGAAAGGGGGAGAGAACGGGCCGGCAGCGAGAAGGAGAGAGCGCGAGTCGCGTTAGCGGATCTGTCGGTCGAGTAACGGAACGCTTTCGAGTACCGCTAGCACCGGCTCTGACGCGGTTACCGGACACCGTTACTTCGGTGATCCGCGAGTACCCACCACGTGCTGTCTCACCGTTCTCTTTGAAGCACGCGGCGGCGGCGGCGGCGGCGGCGGTGGCGGCGGCGGTGGCGCGTTCGACTGGAAGGAAAACGTTTGCACGGGACAGAGCGGCGCGAATTCGTCGAACCGTGGAAAAATTGCGATCCCTGCGCCTCCGGGATCCGCGATGGATTTGCCAGCGATAAGCCGACTCCCTCTTCGCCAGTTCTTCCCCGCGAGCCGGCTAGTTCCGTTTACATTAGCTCGATTCATTGTTACGGAGTATGGGTAACCGCTGTTGCCGGCGTAGTATCGCCAACGATACGTTTCTTACACGCAGGATCGCTGCAACGGTGAATCGCGGAGGAATTGTAGGGAAATCGCGCAACTCCGATAAAACCACCGGTAAATCGCTAGATCCGAAACCAGGGCAATTCTTATTCCTATTCTAATCGGGTTTAAGATATATTTTTCCTGTTGGAATTCGGATTTTGTTGAGAGAAAAGTAACCTTTCTTCCGTTTAATTAAGATGACATTACAAGATGGCATGATTTAACGTATGAATGGACTTGAAATAGCTGCTTTTACGCTCTACATGTTCCCAGTCGAATTTTGTTGAAAGAGAAACGTAGCTGTATCCTACTTATTTTGCTTCGTGGTAGCATTTTAATTTCTATTATCTGTGTACCGTGTTAAGGTACGTATTATATACGTATTATAACAGGACTCGTAACATAATATGTAAGTCTAGAGTTAATTCCCTTTACGCTTTTAAAGTATACTTTTTCGCGATTCTTGTACCGTTTTGATATAGCAAAGCACAGCTAACATCGATCGTTGGTTCCTGTTTTCCCGCCAGCGTCGAAGATCGCAATCGATCGTTAGCCATTTTCTTCGTGGTCAGAGAAAAATCCTGTTGCAAATAATTAAACGTTCCTCGCGACGCGTGCGTGCTAATCGACTTATTACTCTCGACCGTCTCCCAACGATTCCGTTCACGATTAGCTAAACACGAGAAACACCGTCGAGAGAAAGAAATCTGTTTATACGAATCGATAGTTTCTATTTTTACCGCGGCAATTAAAAGTCGCCACCGATCATTATTCATCCACTTCGCAACTAAGGAAGAATCCTGTTATACGGAATTAAAATCTCCTCGAGGTGTGTCTGCTAATCGACTTACTACTCCCAACTGCCTACCGAACGACTTTACACTCGAATAGTTAATCGGAAAGAAGACCCTGCAGCGGCAGAAATATTTATTAACGCGAATGGTCACTGGCAATTTTGAAATTAAAAATCGCGATCGATCGTTATTCGTGGGCCGAACGATGAAAGAAAAATCCCGTTAGGAAGTATAAAAATTCCTGCGAGGCCTTATAATCGACTTATTACCCCCGACGCCTACCAACGGACCCCACACGCGCGCGCTGAAACACGCGGAAACGTTGCACAGCTTGGAAGCTCGTCGACTCGTCCGTTCGTGTTAACATACAAACGAAACGTATTAATAAACGCTGCCCGGTGTAACATTCAATCGAGAATCCGGGAGTACGCTCATAAATTATTGTCCATTGTTTATCTGCCAGCCGACCCAATCGCTGACACGAAATATTACTTAACAGTACTCTGGTAGCTCGTCGACGGGCCCTGTTATCGTAATACGCGGCTCGCTCCATGGCGAACACGCTTCGAAACTCGGCTCGGAAGATAATGGAACCGGTTGCGGCGAAGGTGCGCAGGGACCGGGAGCGTGGTGCTAGAATCACAGTTAACCGGGCAATTTTTCAGCCGCTTATTATTACGATATTACGATGTTTGCCGCGCGTCACAGGCTTTCGCGCGTTAAAAGCGCCGTTTTAATCGGCCCAGCCGCGACGAGACGCGCCGCGTCATGCACGCGTATTACGCATAACGGAAAAAGGAAGCCATCGAAGGAGTCGGTGCTCACGCGAGAGCCATCTCTCAGGCACATCTCGCGCCGGGTCTAGAGGTTAGGAGGCCAGGCGCTCGACGTACGCGGCTCGTGTCCGGTACCATGGGAAACTTTACGACCCGATATTTCTCGTAATATTCCTTCTTCGTTAACCATCCGCGCGTGTTTAGGGGCGTTTCGAGTACAGTAGGATATTTGCTTAACGCCGATTCCTCGCCAACGCTCTTTAGCGGCTCTGTACCGTTGCATCAACGATCCAACGCTTCGTATTTACACGCCAGTCGATCTCGAAGATTACTTTGACTCGTCTTCGTTTTTCGTGGATTCGCGTATTTCGAATGGGTGTCCGATTTCCCAGGATATTCTTTTCCGTGCCAGTTCTCCGCGAGGTTCTCGTCGCCATTTTGACTACCGCCCGACTGCAGCGCCGCCATCTTCTCTCGCGGAGAAATTTCTCTTCGCGTCCGATCGCGATGTAAATTTTCCTTTTCCACTGCCATTTTCAATATACTCCATGTGAAATATTCATCTTTTCTCGTCGAAATTCGGAAATATTTATTTTCCATAGAGAAAACGGTACTCTACGAAGTAATTTCTCGTCCTTAATCATCGGGATTGGACGATCGTTATGTAAAACGTGCGACTTCGTTTCACCTTAATGAATCATTTCACCTGACTTGACGTAGGTTAAGGTTTCTCCTGGTTTCTGCAGCTTTATCTTTATTGTTCCTACCTCGCTGGGCTACCTGTACATGCATCATGCTGAAATCGCCAAGCACATCTCTAGGATCTACAGGTTACGAGGTCAGGCACTTTGCTATTTACCGCACGTGTTCCGTACATATACCATCGATATACGATAATCGGGGGTCTGATGTTTTCTGCCTTGCACGGATTTTTTTCCACCGTTTCGCCGGGGTATTGTGTCGGAGACATTTCGCAGACATTTTATATAGTTGCACTGCTCGAGTATGCCCGTACGACTCTATTATCCGATGATATTTCTCGGTGTATCGCAGCGAGCTGGATTCGATATTAGCAAGAGTTATTGGATTATTTATTTCGGTTCTTTCCATTACTATAATCACAGGACGGTTTTAAAGAGATTGAAAATAGAGAAAGATTTCGTCAGACGAATAATTTCGAGCGACGCAACGCGCAAATGCAAACGCCTTGACGTCTCAAGTCTCGCGAACTTGTAGTTTCTTTACGTCCATTTTCACGTCGAATTTGGAGAAATCAAGGCTGAAAGATCTGTCGGGGGAGACCTTTTCAGATGCAAATGACTCGACGATTGTCTTAAGGAAGATAAGAAATCCCTTTCTTTTAAAATTGATCAAAGCACCGCGCGTGTTGAACTTGGCTGATACCGAAAGAAAGGGAATACCGTTTCCCGTTGTTTTCGTGCTTTAAAATCCCGTGGTTCCAAAGGTCAAATTAACATCAATTTGCGCGGTTTAGCGGCATTATCGCTCGGTCGATAAACGCCTCCGCGGGATGCTTTTCGAAATGGAGGGATGAAAAGTAACACCGGGATGCTTTCTCGAACTCGCCTGCCTTTTATACCGTGCAAAGTAATTTCTGCGCGGCGAAGACACCGAGCAAATAAGACGCGAACGTAGCGGAAACATTTCTTTTCATTAACCCCTTCGCACAGGACGAAATAAACTTGGGAACAGTTACTCGTGCGAGCTCGTGAAACACGCCGAAACGTCACCTTCGTCACCTCTATAAATACCACCTAACGGCGGAAACGAATTTAAATCCTCCACGTTAATAACTGATATCGTCGGCTCGCAGGTAATCATAACAGGTCGGTTAACCTAATTTTCAAGTGTATCGTTTTAATTTATGCCCTGTATTTCACTCGAAATATGGACTTACTTAAAAAATTACGCGAGGAACAT